ATGCACCTTATCCCTGGGCTGCTGATGTGCAAGGAATTCTTTTGGAGGCTGGTTCAGCGCTTTGCACCTTACAGGCAAAGGCACTGGGGGTGCACAGGGTGGTTTGTAGGTGCAGAGGAGACCTGGAGGGGCAGGAAGCATTAGGGAAAGTTCTTCAGCCTCTTTGAATGCAACCAGGGGCAATGGGGGTGTCTCCACCTCTGTCATGGGGCCAGGGAACATGGTGGCAGTGACCTTTTCAGCTGCCTTCTGCTTTGGGAAGCCTCAGCTTCTCTTAAAGCATCTGTCCCCGTGAAAAGTGCTTTGGAGGGATTTAGGGCTTTGGGGGAGAGCAGATTGGCAGTAAACCCTCCAGCCAGCTGTGCAGAGTCAGGACCTTTTGGAAAAGGGAAATTTGGGTGATTTCCACCCACCTGGAGCCTCAAAATGTCCTCCTTCTTTGCAGCCATCTCCCAGGCTGGGGAAGCAGCCGCTGCTCCGTGGTAACTCTGCACACCCTCGCTGCTGCTCTCTAATCAGACACGAGCTTTGCAATTAAGCGGCACAGAGTAACCGTGGGGACAGAACCTGCTGCTTGAGCCCAGCTCAGACGAGTTTAGGGAGGGAGAGACCTGATTTCCCACTTAGCAGACAGGTCACGATCGGTGGATTCATTGATCCCAGAAAGCAAAGCCTCCGCTTCATTAGAGACATGCTGGTGATGAAGGCGGCCTCGGGGAGCAGGGAAGCTGTGTGAATCCTTCCCTAAATGTTATCTCTGCAAGCCTCAGAGTGCAGATGCTGGGAAGCTGCTCCAACAGGATGGCTTCCTCTGGAGGGAGCCTGCTCCATCCCACTGTGCCATCACATGAGTGGCTCTGAAGGGGTACTGGAGCTCCCTGGAAATGCTGAGGCTGGAAAAATGCACTTTTAATGTTTCTGTGTCTGTCTCCTCTTCCCTGTGTGCTTCTCCCCACCGAAGTGTGACGAGGGCACGATGCCCTGGCTCAAAGCAGGGCAAGCTGTGGCTGTGCCAGGGCAGAGCACCCAGGCGAGACCCAGCTCCCACACGAGGTTCACCTGCAGTCAGTGTGGAATTCCCAGAGCCTGAGGGGTTTGTGAGGGATGTTCACCCAGAAACACGGACACAACAAGGCCCTGGAGAGCTGGTTCAGGTGCAGGCAGCAGGGGCAGAGCAGAGAAGAGGCAGCCCCATTGACTGGGCACACTGAAGCTGGGCAAGACCCTTCTGCAAAGTCCTGCTCGCTCTGCTCCTGAACCACGACTGTGTGTATACAAAATGCTCTGACTGTACCAGCCAGATCCTGCTCTGTCCTCTGCTGTATTCCTGATTTTCCCTCCCCAGGTCAGCTCTCCCACAGGGAGGTTTCCACACTGGCTCCTGCCAACAGTTACTGGCAATAACTTCTCAGTGCCCTTCAATGCAGCTGCTCGAGGCAGCAGATGGGGATGGGGGTTGAAGCTGAGCCAGACTGGCTGCTTTGCAAGGAGAGTTAGCTCAGGATAAGCTGGGCTTATGCAAGTAGCTCCATCTACTCCCGAAGTTTTTGTTCTCTCCCGTACCTGTTGGGATCCTGATGTTACTGGGAGCAGTTTCACCGAGGTGAGCGTTGCCCACAAGCTGGAGCAGGGCCCTGCACCATCCCCTTCCCTGAAATCACGACTCTGCATGGTAACAACACCCACAGGCAAAGAGCAAGGGAAGGACTGTGAGCCTTCCACATGGAAATTGTGAAGGTTTTCCTGGTTCTCTGCATGAGGGGAACCACGCAGGGGATGTGGCTTTTAAGAAGGTTTCTGCTCCAGGGAATCACGCTGTGCTGCTGGTTTGGGGCAGGGATGTATCATCCTGCTCCTGCAGGTGTTAGGACTTTTTTTTTGCCAATTCTTCCAAGAAAGCATCTCCCATGGGCAAACCTGGCTGGCAGGACTCCCTGACGCCAACACAGGCATCCTCAGCTTTCACCAGTGACGAGCCTCCCACGCCGTGACACGTCCCCTTCGCAGGGGCAGATCTTGAGCTCCCAAGTGTTTGGCTCCAGTTTCTGGCTCATGCTGAAACATGGACGAGCTGGAAGCAAAGCATCCTCTACCCAGCTTGGCTTGCAGTTTAGGAGCATCTCGGGCGTTCGGAGAATTTAGGGACGTGGAGGTGGTGTTGGTTGTTCTCTGTATCCCTGGGTATTTAAGGGAACTCAAGGAACAGTGGGGGCATGGAAAGGAGGAAAGGAGCAGCTGTCTCTCTGGATTTACAGGGATCAGCAGCTGAGCAAGTCCTCAGCATAACCAGGGTGTAACTGGGAGCAGAGTCTGCCTCACATACCATATGCTCCCAATCCACTGCGCTCAATCAAGCCTAATAAAATTGATAGGGGAGCATTGAAAATCTCGTGATTAATTCTTTATGATCTGTAATAGGGGAGCTGTGTGCCAATTACTCAAGTAAATCATTCATCAGAAAATAAATAGAACTAACCTCCAGCACAAACACTAGAGGATTTCCACCAGGATTGCAGGTCTGGATTGCAGCATCACACTGCTGGTGACAGCACATTATCTGATGGAGGACACAGGAGTAGCTGTAATTTTGCTTCTTCTCCCCAAGGTTTCGGCTCTGTGCTCCAGCATTATTTGTTGCTTTTCACCACATGCTTTTCACACACCACCTTGCAGGTTTGCAAGGGCCAAACCCACAGGATCAGCTTTATTTCAGGGCAGGTTTGAACATGGGGACCATGGACAAAAAAAAAAGGAATGGAAACAAAACTTGTCTTTTATTTTTCCAGCAAGGAAACCAGTCATTTGACCTGGAAAATTTTCCTGGTCTTGTAAGGAGAGCCGTCCCTCTCTGCCGAAGTTACCGGACTGTGGTTTCCCAATCAATGTCCCATTTCTAAGGGAAAACCACCCAACAGCACTCCCTGCCCCAGATTTCCACATGTGGGGAATTTCCCGGGTTGTGTTTGAAATCTGAAATGCTCCTGAACAAACTGAATTTTGCCAAGCCACAGTGTCCTGCTAACACACATTCAGCATCCTTTGCCATGATGCAACTCTGTATTTATCAGGGGCCTTTTGGGACCATGGTGGGATTTCAAAGGGCACTGAGGGAGTTCATGCTGAGAAAGGACTTGGGAAAGCTGAGGGTAATGTCCTCTTCCTAAGTTTGGTGCTCAGAAAGGGAGAGCTGGATTAAAGGCATGGAAGGAGAGGGATGGGCACATAAAATCCAGGCTTTGCAGAAAGCCCTCTTTGTCTCCTTCACAGTTGCAGGGATGTGTCCAAGGTGGGATGAAGGGCAGAAAGGAGGGGCCCCCACTGCCACAAATGCCTTCTTTCCCTCTTACATGGACAAACTTCCATGGACAGGGAATTTGGCAGTGGAAATGGCAAGGAGGTTCAAGTGTGATTCGCTGCCCTAAACATAACTGAGCTGGTGGCAGGACAGTGGATGCTGCAGCACGTGCCTTCACTGGGTGACAGGACAGACGTTTCCATGACAGCCCAGCTCTGCTGACCTTGAATGAGGAACCAGTGAGACAGTTCATCCTTCTGCACCTCCTCACCATCCATCCCTCAGCCTGACCCATTCCTCCTCCCACTGTGCACAGCATCCTTGTCCTTTCCCAGCTGGCAGCACTGGCACCACCAGGACACCTTTCCCTTGCAGCCAGGACAGTGCAGAGGTTTCTCCCTGCTAATTCCTCCTGGAGAGGGACGTTAGCATCTCACACATCCCAGCCACCATCGCTTCCCCCACTGCATCCCTGTCGCCCTTCCTGCTGCTCCCAGCACCCAGCTGGTGGGATTCAGAACAAACATCCTCCCACCTGCTCCCGCAGCCCAGCCTGGGAGATGGCAGAGGCGATAATTACACACTTGGCACAGCAAAATTATCCAGTGCGGGGGAGAAGAGGCCGGAAGCAGCTGGAGATCATCCATGGGGAACGCTGCTCCCACCCACAGCGCCTCGGTGTGTGCCTCACCCCAAACCAGCCTGGTTCACACCGTGAATGTGCTCCTTGGGCCCTCTGTGAGCACCCTGAGTGCCAGAGCTGATGGTGCAGGGGGGAGCTGGGGATGTGCTGGAGCACCGAGGGGTTTGCAGCAGCAGAACTAAGGAAGGCTGGTTTCCCGTGGTGCCAAACTGGGATCCCTGGGGTCTGCTGAAGTGTATCCTCCAAAGATGCCATTTTCCTGGGGAGGGCTTTAAGTGAGCCATCATTCATGCACACTTTCGGTGCCTCCCAGAACACGAGTACTTGGATATCTTGTCCCTTCCCTGCTCCCATGAGACCTCTGGGAGGGACACTTGCAGCTCATTCACACCGTATTTATTTTTGAAGAAAATTTATTTCCTTGCAAAGCAGGATCTGCACAAGCAGAGACCCTCAGGGGTCTACAGGGAAGATACTACCCTATTTTCCAGACAGATCCAGGACTGCAGCCCATGAGGTGCACCAAGCAGAAATATCCTAGAGAGGACTGAAGATGAAAAAGAACATGAGTAGTAATAATAACAGCAATAAAAAAATATACGGCACTGGCTGAAGGGAGAAGGCTGCAATGAATTGTCCTTAAAATACATTTAGACTTGGTGGTTTTACGTTTTGCCCTTCAATGAGTAATACTGGTCAAGAGACATTTAATTTCCTGCCAGGGAGCCACTGCAGTTGTTTCCCAGCTCCCGGCCCTGGCCTGAGCACTGAACCGGGACAGGGCAGGGGATGGGCAGGGATCCATAGAATCATAGAATGGTTTCGATTGGAAAAGATCATCTCATTCCTTAAAGATCATCTCATTCCACCCCCAGCCATGGGCTGGAAACCTTGCGTTAGGCCAGGCTGCTCCAAGCCCAGTCCAGCCTGGCCTGGAGCCCTTGCAGGGATGGGGCAGGCACAATTTCTGTGGGCAAAAGGAAGGGGCAGGGATGCGGCAAAGGGCAGGCACGGGAGCTGGCAGGGAACGGGCAGGGGCTGGCAGGGGACAGACGGGGGCTGGCAGTGCCTGTCTCTGCCCCCGCACCAGCGGTGCCCACTCGGTTCTGGGTCCCTCTCCCCTCAGGGCCGTCCCACTGCCGGCCGCACTCCAGCTCCCGGAGCGGCCCCGGGGATCCGTCCCGCTGCTCCCGCTGCTCCCGCGTCCAGGGTCGAAGTCCATCCCGGGCCGCGGGGCCGCTCCCGTCCCGACACGATCACGCACCCGCAGCGGAGGT